GCTTAAACCGTGGTTTGTGATTGGACGAAACGATTTTTTCACGTGTGAGAAACTCGTTTCGCCTCTCTGATTGGTCGAATTAAAATCCGAAACGCTTTTTCACACAGCAAAATTTGATGCGAAAATCTCAGTATATATAAAATAAAGACCATTTCTTGATGCGAATGAGAGAAACTTTCACAGGATAATAGTGATAGTGGTAGTTATAAGCCTTAGTCTGCATGCCCATCATCTAATTAAAGAGTATTATTTTCAAGTTCACTAGAAAGCACGACTGATTACAAAGGGCGATGATCTCAGCAATGGTTTTACTTTGTATGTCACCCATGACGTTTTGTAATCAAACTTGTCGCGCTATTAAATACAAGCTATTCTGTCATAGTTAGTTATAATCATGGCAGTTTATATAACCTATCACAATTTATAACAAACCATTTCGCTATTTTTAATAAAAGTGCTGTCACAACTTGTAATAACAGTCGATCGCACTTGGTAATAAACTGTCGCACTTTGTAATAAAGTGTTTTAAAGAATAACCCCGGCCCGCCTTGGGGCACTTCCGATTCAGATATAAAATCCGAAGAGTTCCTGTATGGCGTTTCTACGTCTACTGTTGATACTAAACTTCTTGATCAAACATCAATTGCTTGTTGAAGGCGCAATATTTTGTCTCTGCGTTTTAACCTTTAATTAGTTTATGATATGTAACGAAAAAATAGCTAAAGCTTATTACAAAGTGTTATGAGATCCAGGATTGCAAGCTGTAGGAAAATTTTTCTTGCAAATCTTGGTAGCAGTTTAGTTTATTACAAAACACGATGGACAGTTACTACAAATTGCGACACGGTTTATGGCAAATTGCAATAGTAATTACAGTACAAAGTACGATTGAATTATTACAATGTACGACAGGTATTAAGTTTTTTAAATATCAGTTGATTATAATGATGATAATTATTGCTATTAGAGTTGGTCTACATACACACGTAAGAGGCTCATTTTATTGCACAGTGCGAAAATTAGCCTTTTATTTCAAATTATTGCGACAATTGTTATTACAAAGTGCGATAGGTATTAAAACAAAGTGAGGCAATATAGCTACAAACGTGCGACAGGTGTTAGAAAACCTCACCGTCATGCATAGTTCAGTATTAGTTTGAATTTTACTGACAATTTGTGCTGAACGTTTGTTTCCCATCTGGCCTAATTTTCCTATTTGACTGCAGCTTTTAAGAAGAAAACACTACTTGGTTCGGTTATGTTGTTAAACGGGTAGATAATTTTAAAAAATACATGAGTACTTAAACAAAGGAAATGGAATAGAAATTAGTGGTCAGTAAATTACAAGATGGACTGATAGCAGATAGCACCTGACACCCATATAAATGAAAATCTAAAGTTAATACGGCGTGCACTTGAACATATCGTCGCAGCAAAGAGAGATGGAGGTGACAAATGTTACCGAAAACGAAAACCAGATAGTGGTCGAAGAACTGTTCTGCTCGGAGACAGTGACTGGAGGGGTGCGTGGCCAGCTAACCTTTCTTTCAGCTATTAACATTTTTCTGTCCATTGCAGCATTTCTGGGGAACACACTGATCCTAGTTGCCCTACACAAGGAGACTTCAACACACCCGCCGTCCAAACTCCTGTATCGTAACCTAGCGATAACAGATCTCTGTGTTGGTATGATTTCGGAGCCTTTGGCTGTGACCTACTGGACTTCTTCTGTGAATAGGCAATGGCATATTTGTTATTATGCACAGAAGGCCGGAGCTATCTCAAGTTATATTTTTTGTTTGGTGTCTTTGTACACTGTAACCGCAATAAGCGTGGACAGACTTCTTGCTCTGTTACTAGGGCTAAGATACAGACAAGTGGTAACCTTGAAAAGAATACGTATAAGTTTGATTGTTTTTTGGCTATTGTCGCTTGTTTCTTCGTTAACTTTCTTTCGAATTCAAGTAATGTGGTGGCTTCCAAGGGTAGGTGGTGGTCTATGCCTAGTCACCTCAATATTCTCTTACATAAAAATTGTCTTCACCCTGCGTCACAACCAAATACATGTTCAGAACCACGTTTCTCAAGGACAACCGAACCAAAAAATTCCACTGAATAGAGCTCGATACAAACGGGCAGTGAACAGTGTACTTTGGGTGCAGGTAGCTTTGGTTGTTTGTTATCTGCCTTCAGCTATTACCTCAGCTTTGATAATGTCTCAAGGAGGGGTGCCTTTATATTCTTTCGTTGCTCGCCAATTTACGAGTACTTTAGTGTACTTAAACTCATCGTTAAACCCATTAATTTATTGTTGGAAGATCAGAGAAGTAAGGGAAGCTGTAAAAGAAACATTAATGCAGTTCTTCCGTTAATTTAAAAAGGAACATATTAATTTGGCTAGTTGCTCGGTGAACTATGTAAACTCAAAAATTATCTTCTCGTTATGTGTCTTGTTGATAAGTCACTACGTGCTGTTACAGGTCTTTAAAGTTATATTCATCAATTCTATCTGGTGATAATTAGCTTCAACAGGTCAAAGTTTTTGAAGAACGTTTGGGTTCCAAAATATGTTTGCTTCACTTTACAAGTTATAAAATCGTTATTTATCGTCGGACTTTTAGGCTGGAAGACCTAAGAAGCAAGACAAACTGTGACTGGTACAAAACCGATGCCACTTGTGATCATGTATTTTAGTCAGCTGTCAACAGTTTTAGATTTTCTTAAAGTTAAGGAAAATATATTTTCTCGGTTTGCAAAAAGTGAAAGGATTTTTTTGTTATTAAATAGTGGCATGGAGTATAAAAATCTGTGGCTTTCCTTCCTCTACGAGAGATAGTTTAAGTAGTTAAGTACCTTTTTATTTATATCAATGATCAAAGGGTAAAAAAATAAGATAAGTTTTACGAGACTTCTTTAAAGTAGATGTAGATTTTGATTTCGAATACTTAGTGGCAAACATGAGCTCCATGGTCCCAAATCGTAACCTTCTTGAATGCCTACTGTTGCTGTTGTCACAAGTCCTGTGATTTTTTTTTAATCGACCAAAAGAAATGTATTATTCATTATTGAGCCTCTAGATAATATATTTTTTTTAATTCCCCCAAGCCTCGCAGCCAAGTATGAATTTTAATATATTAGAATTAGACTATTACATTTTTTCTTTAAAACCAAAGAAAGAATCAAAGAGCGAAGGCGAAGACCATGTACCCACGACTAAAGATCCCGCGGGGTACTCAACAAAGTTTTATACGCCTTATACTCTTTTATATACCACTTTGACAGGAAAGAGGTACCTCTTTCCTTTTCCTTCTATTGACAAATGGGTCCCCTTTCAGATACCTAGTTTATAAATCTGCATCCTCTTTATTGCTGTAAATGTACTGTATTTTAAATAAATCCAGAACGTTTCGAAATTCCAACCGCTTTCATAAAGGCCTAGACAGATCAGCTGGGCAACTTTTGAGCAACTTTTTCCTTTTCGATTATGAGCAGCTTTTTGGAGAGTGAGCCACTTTACAGCATCTTTTCTAAAAGTCAGTCTATTTTTGGCATATTTTTTTTCCTATTTTTAAATCCCATTCATAAAAAAGCGCAAAGTATCCGAGAACACAGGCAAATACAAGTCAAGTCAAACGCAAAAGTAGATGAGCAAAAACCTCTGTTTATGACCGATTCAAGGGAAATCCTGGTCCGCATTGATAAAAAAAATCGTTGGAGGTTTAACAAAAAGAAATGAATAAATAAATTAAAAAAAATTTTCTAATCCCAGTCTATGCATGACTTCCAATAAATTTCATTAAGAGTGAAAAGTACACGTACGTTCACCTGAACAAAGTTCCTAAGTTTTGCGTTCCAATATTTTATGTTTACGTTTTACTTGGTTTTCTCTTTTGCGATAAATGAAAAACATCCCTAAATAAAAAATTGTCAAAATCATTCGCTTGCAAATGGAATTGTAGATATTGTAGATAATGTGGGTCATCGACAGTTGTTTTTCTTCCTGGGCTTTAGTAGATTATTTTTTACATTAAAATCATGGGAACTTATGAAAGAAACAATATTTTTTGTGCTTATGATATTTTTATTACTTTTTCTTTTTCTTCAAGACCATACCTTTGATTGAACTACTTCCAAAGTGCTTCGGGTGCAATTAAATCAAAGCTAGATTGCTGGAAGTTACTCCAATCGGCTTTTAAGCTAGCAGTCAAGTAGTTGTTAAAATGATATTCGCTTTTTTAATAGACCTTTGTCACGCGGCGGCCATTTTGTCTCAGGAGTTTTAAAAGCTTTGATTATGCATTGTTAGCCTCGTAGAGAGAACGAGGCTAGCCGTGCATAAACAAAGCAGAAATCTCCTGAGACAAAATAGTCGCCGCATGACAAAGGTCTATTGAAAGAATTATCCTCTCGGTTCATAGATGCAGCTTCCCGCGGTATAAAAAAAGACCTTAGCATTTGTAACAGTACCTTAGCATGAAACATTAAAAAGATCAGCAAAACCAAGTGAGCAAAACTGAAAACTTTTGCGAAAGACTGAGACCAAACAAGGTAACAGCGATCTTAAAAGTTCATCTTTTTTTTAAGAGTCAAGGTAAGTGGGAGATCGGTTTATTCCATTTCGCTAAGGATAAAATTCGACATTTTTAAAATGATAAGAGAAAAAGCGCTGAACGAACCAAATTTAAGTGTATTTGGGTTTACGTGGTCCTTGCAGTTTTAAGACCAACCCAGTAAGCCTTTGACTGAAAAAAAGGTTCTTTTTTAACCTCTTATGTTAATGTTATAAAAGCGAGAATCACAGTTTCTTCCGGAGTTCATGTGTATTCATAGTCGAAACAAATAAAACAGACCTGGCATGATTAAAATTAAGGTTTCAAAACTTTATTTCCTCATACTTTGCAACCTTATGATTCCCTTTTTTGCTACATAAAATTAGTTTAAGCTTTATGATTTAAACAACAGACGTGGATTATGAAGAAAGACGGCAGCTCATACTGAGACACTTAGTAATGATCTATTTGAATAAGATTACAATAAACTGGCAGCGGAACAGAGCTCTGATGAATTGGAAAAAATAGAAGCAAATGTTTTAAAATGCAAAAAAAGAAGTTGTTAAAAGCGCTTAAAATATCCGAAATTTTATATTTACTAGGCTTTCAACTTTCTGCGTTTCCTAACTTTTTTTCCAGTGGTCTGTTACGGTGTTTCGATACAGTTTTCGCAGATCATATCGATGTTTTTCAATCGCCTTTAAAATGATGTCATCTTTATCCGATCGCCACAAAATTTTAACCAGTGATTGACTATGAATTGAAGTTTATCAAAGAGCAGTTGTTAGTAAAATCTATATCACTATGACAAATATAAACAAAAAACTTTAAAATCGTTTAAATCCGAATTTCGCGCGATCTAGACCTACTACTGAAAATCCGACACCAGGACGTTAAAGTGCAGTGTTTAGCAAATTACCTCCGTGAGGAGGGAAAAATTCTGTATGTTTGAATTCAAATCAAACTTAAATATATTTCAAACCTTATATTTTCAATAGTCGTGATAAATTGTTAAAAAAAAGTTCTAAATAACTCAAATTAATCTTAAGTAGCGGCAGAAGGCTGCTCAATATTATATTTCGATGCATGGAAAGTTTGGTGTATTTTCTTTGTTGCGATCCTGAAAACTAACCTGTTTTCTCACCACCTGTCTTAGCGCAGCTGTCGATTTCAAAGTTTTTAAAAGTTTTTTGTTTATTGTTGTCATGGTGATATCGATTTTACTAAAAACTGCATTTTGAAAAACTTTAATTCATAGCAAGAGAGGATAAAGGGGACAGAGAAGGCATCCCACACCCTATTCCATAGGTAATTCGTCTCGAGTTATTTCAAGAAAGGGGATAAAGTTACCTCGGGCGCTGCGTGGATGTTTCGTGGAGGTTACGCTAACTACTTCCAACTGTCCACATAAATCCTCCGTCTCTTCTTCCGAAAGACTCTTGTTCCGTTTATTTGATTTCTTCGGCGCCTTTTTGCTTGATTTGGTGACGTTCGAATTTGAAGGCGCAGGTTTAGGCTTCTCTGCACTTTTCCTTCTCTTCGCTTCATCTGCTGAACTATCATCGGAATAGGAGCTTTCTACGTTTTCATCGGCACGCTCCGTTTCGGTTACAGCTTCCTCCTCGCTTGCACTGACTTTTTCATCTTCTTCGCTAGAACTCTCAGCTTTGCTAGCTCAAATCAACGTCGTAACAATGTTTAGAAACAAGCGAGGAAGGGCGATTCTTTTTTAATTTCCGTTTCACTGACACAGCTTTGGCAGAAATCTCTTTGTAGTCGTTTTGTCGACAAAACGTATAGCCATATCACTCTCCGCGTCTTCCGCCATTTTGTTCTGAGTCAATTCGTGAAGGACGCGTGGCTCTGAGCGTGGGACATTCACGCGGAACACATTCACGCTATCTTATTGGCTGTTGTCTAATCCCCCTTGGGATCTGTAGTCTTAAAAATAACTCGAGACGAATTACCTATGAAATAGGGTGTGTATGGGGGGATGCCTTCTCTGTCCCCTTTATCCTCTCTTGTTCATACTGTTTTCATCACTGGTGAAAATTTTGTGGCGATCGACAGGGATAAAATCACTTTTAAGGCGATTGAAAAACATCGACATGGTCTCCGAGAAACGGTATCGAAAGACCTTAAACAAGTCAGAAATTTAAGTAATAAAGGTAACAGCCTCTCCCACAAAAAGTGGTCGCTTGCTATTGATTACTTCCATTAAAAAAAATTAAGGCGGAGAAAACAACTATTTCTGTTTTATAAAAACGCAAAAGAGAGAGCGAGGTCAATATCCCTCTTAATCCTGACCAAACGACCAGAATGAATTTCGCGTCTATACGCAGGACTTTCCCAGTACCTAGCAATGAAAGCCGATGTGCACGCTAACATATGTTTTTGGTTATGTTTGAACAGACACCAGGATGTGTACCTGAGACAGGTTAAAACTGGTACCGATGTCAATGTCAACAGAAGATAAAGACATATGTGGACTTGAAGACTGGGTCCCTATTCCAGTTAACGATTCGACCACCTCAATAACTGACCTTGCAGTCGCTGTTTCGAACATACCATTCGGTATCTTCGCCTTTCTTACCAACCTTGCAATCATTGTGACTGTAATCAAAACACCATCTCTGCAAAGGTCTTCAAACATTCTGCTATGCAACCTGGCTACCGCAAACTGTTTGGCGGGCGTAACAGTTCAACCAATATTCGCTGTATGGTGGATAAACGTCCAGTATGTCCAAAACACCTGTTCTTCTCAGCAGCAACTTAGCACTGCTTTTAGTGTGTCCAATATCTTGATGACAGGGTTATCGTTTACAAACTTGGCAGTCATCAGCGCCGATCGCTGTTACGCTGTGTCCAGGCCTTTCGCCCATCGCGCAAAAGTCACGAAGGAAGGTAAAAAATAGTATTATTATTTCGACATATATTTATTTATTTGCTTATTGTGATAGGACGCTGTGTGCAAAGTCTCCAGTACAGCCATGACCAACCGGACGACAGGTCGAGCGCGTTGTGGATTCATACTTCTTCCTCTGCGGCTACAAGTAGCTGCATCACCATGAGTTACTTATTTGCAAAAAAAAAATTAACCGACCACCCCAAAAGAGAAATTAACGGCTGTTGAAACTGAAAAAAGCAAGCCTGCTAAGAAAAACAATTTAGCTCTAAAGTAAAATTAATATCTGAACCAGTAACAGTAAATATAAGCAACGAAAAGTATTACTATTTGCAAAAGCAAAAGTATAGGGAAAAAGCAAAACAGAACAAAAATAAAGAAGACAGTCACTCAGGACAGAAAAATTCGAATTAAGTTGGACTCACTGAAAATATTGCGATGTTTTGAAATTGTTACGACAGAACCCGGAAATCGATCACGATGCTTACGGTGCTTGATTGTGATATTGCTTAGGATCACTAACTGAAGCAAGGAAGCTCCCCGGAGGAATCTGGCAGCGGGCCGGGAAAAAGAAGGAGTCAGCTTGCAACAACGTCTCTGGAATTTGAATTCTGCCTCCAATTCCCCTGTGGCTCCCCGTCGACTGAACTGTCAGATTTCCGCCAATCAGCGCGAAGCGGAAACGAGCCCGAATGTACACAAACATTGAAAAGCACGTAATAGTACGCGCCAAGGGTAGTGACGTCATTACTGATGTCATCTCCGCGGACAATCAGCATTTCGCATCGACTTTTTCGATGCAGATACTCAAATTCCAGAGACGTAGTTGCAAGCTCTCCGTCCTTTTCCCGCCCCGCTGCCACAGCGCCACGGAGACCTTGTTTGCGGGCTAAAGTCAGGCCAATTTATGCTGTTCGACCTAGCCACCGTAAAAAATAAATTATACAGCGATGGTTCAAACGCAAATTAATACGTCTCTTTTACCGTTCAGTTTTTTGAACTTGTAGAGAGAGCGGACCTTGCTATGTTTGCAACAAGCCCAGCCTTTCTCCTTCTATCGGCTCTGTCTTCCCCAGAGTTTTAAAAACTTTCCTCTACAAGCATCAGAATCCCTAGAAGCCTATATTGCCTAGAACTAAAATAATACAGAACGTTTTTAAACAAATTTCGTTGAAAGATTCTACTTTAAGTATATATGATTAAGTAGTTTCATCAAATCTTGACATTTTAAATCGATCATAAGTATTACATGAATGATATTACACAGTGGTGACGAGAAGAAATGAATTTTTTTCTTGAGTGGCAAAAACAATCTCACTCCATTTTCTCTGAGTTCACTCGTGAATTAGTTAATAATTTATCAGTAAATGGGCCATTTCCGAGTTACCCCAAGCCTCTGTTTCACAG